TTCAGCTGGGAGAAGAGAAGGCTCCAGTAGGACCTTATAGCAACTTTCTAGTACCTGAAAGGGGCCTACAAGAAAGCAGGGGAGGGACTATACACAAGGGTTTGTAGCACCAGGACAAGGGGTAATGGCTTTAAGCTAGAAAAGGGGAGATTTAGGTTAGACATTAGGAAAAAGTTCTTCAGTATGAAGGTTATAGACCCCTGGAATAGGTTGCCCAGACAGGTGGTGGAGGCCCCATCCCTGGGGACATTCAAGATCAGGTTAGATGACGCTTTAAGTAGCTTGATCTAGTTTGAGATGTCCCTGCTTATGGCAGGGGGGGTGGGCTAGATGACCTTTGGAGGGCCCCGGCAGGGGGGTTGGACTAGATGACCTCTGGAGGTCCCTTCCAGCCCAGACATTCTATGATTCTATCTGTGGCAGAGTTAGTGTTTTAACAGGCAGTTGGGCAAACAGAAACCTGCCTCTCCCAAACCCAGCCTCTGCCCATTTAAGAGGCTCACTTCAATGGGAAATCAACTCTACTCACTCCTCTCCTGGACTGCTTGTGGAAAAGCATCCCTGCACACTCAAGCCGTGCACAGACACACCGAGGAACGTACCTTTGGCTGGAGTTGTTCTTTTGGGAAAATCCACTGTATCGGCACCAGGGTCTTCAGGGAGCTTTTTACCTTCAAATGGTAAGCAGATAGGCATAAGACACCTCCCCTCCCCATGCATGTCAGCCCAAAAGCTCTTAGCCACTTGCTAGAGCAACCACCCTGGAGGTGAGCTGAAGCTAAGCTACCAGCATGTCCCAGGAGAAGATGTCAAGTCCATTCCCGCACCGCAGGCAGTACGTGGCCAGCGAGGGGAATGGGGGACAAAAAGCTAGCGAAAGCACACAATTAAATCACAGAAAAATTAAAATGAAGAGCTCACTCACCTCTGGAGAACCATTCGTCTATTGGTGAAGCGGAGAGAAGGACAGGAGAGAGGGGAGGCAGGAGAAGAGAAGTGCCGACAGCATCATGGGGCAGATCATTTGGCAAGAAAGCAAAGGGAAGGGGCAACACGGGAAACAGGAGAAGGTGTGGAGTTAGCAGACATCTATCCATCACCATCCCACCACCACAGAAACCCACCACTGGTTTGTGTCAAATGCTACGGGTAAGCCAAGCAGTAGCTCCCAAAGCCAGGGAAGGCACAGGCCACCGCGTCTCCAGAGAAAGCTGCGGTTTAGCCTTCACACAAGAGATGCCAGAGTAGGAGCACAGAGACCCCAGACCACCCTCAAGCTCCACTATAGTAGATCTGTCTTTATCGCACCTCCCTCCATACTGCTGCCACCCAACAAACCTTTGCCTTTCTTGGCACCAAAGCAGCTTGCAGCATGGGGCCCAGCGTTGTTGGCAGGGGCCAGAGGCGTCTCCTGGTAGCGCTCGGCATGGGGAATCTCACGGTGGACTTGGTAGGACAAGTTTCTCAGCAGGCACACACAGTTCTCCACCAGCTAGAGAGAAAGTCAGGTATTAGAGCAGCACAAGCCCACCCCATGTCTCCCAGTGAGGGCTCTGTCACAGCTTCCAACCCAGAGTCAGGGCAAGGAGGTCTGAAGCAGGACTGGGGGATACGTGGCTCCATCCCATACGGAGCTGGAGCATACCCCCATCCCAAAGCAGGCATAGCCAGCTCTGCAGGCCTGAGTTCATACACTGGTGGGCCAAAAGTCTCTCTGCCATCAGCAAAAAAAGCGTGAGAAAAGGCTCAAGGAAAATTCAAGCAAACACCTTGTCACGATGGATCAGGAAGACCTGAGCCAGGGGATACCAGCATGGGGACAAATGACAGAAGCAGGGCCCTCTTGGGAGGGCCAACATTCCTACTACAAACTGCAGGCTGTGCACCAGACACCTCCTGGTCAAACAACACCCAGGCCACACACCCTGTGCAGGCACTGTCTTCCCAAGTGGAGATCGAGGAAAGGCGTGAGCCTGGAATGGGTTTTCCCAAGCTAGTTCTGTCAAATCAAATCCCTCCCTGGTGAAGATTCTCTCTGTCCATTCTTCATCTGCCTCAGGATGAACCCAGCTTCAGCCACCATAAACAGCAGAGCACTGCGAGAGCTAGTTGCCAAGGGCAGAGCTCTGCATGTGCCCTGCCAAGACCCTCGCTGAAGTACCTTGCTGTCCGAGTCCTTCTGGCCAATCTCAGACTGGACTATGTAGATCAGGGCATCCACCAGCCCGTCACATTCCCGCAGCTTCCGACGGGCCTCACTCCGCTCGGAGCTCACGTTCCTGTCAGGCAAGAGAGATCCGTCATGGGAGAGACGGTGAGGACAGGTGAGGAGCAGCCCACACCCAGCAGAGTTCAAACCAGAGAAAAGCTCCTGTGGCTCTTCTCCTCCGAGAGAAACCCCTCCAAAACAGAGGGCTGCATCACCGGTGGCTGTGCTAGCAGAACAGCACATGCACAGACCTCTTCTGGCAGTCCCAGAAAGCTACCAGGAACAGCCAGGACAGAGCTTCACAGCAGCCCCAACTCACACCAGCTCTCTGCCCGCAGCTGGTAGCTCCCCTCCCATACCTAAGACAGCCAGCAGTGTTGGTGAGCACCGACTCCCACTCGATGTGCCGGGGTTTCGAGTCCTCGTTGGGCTCCCGCTCCCAGCCCGAGCGGGGAATGACCACCTCATCAGTCAGAGCATGCAGCGCATGATCCACAATGGCCATCTTGATGGAGTCGTGCGAGGACAGGTTCCACAGTGTTCCTGCAACGCCACAGGCAGGAAGCGATCAATCAGACCGGGTGGGCTTAAAAGCTTGCTCTGTGCACCCCTCACCCGACCGATGAGCCCCGCCTCTCCTCTCCTCAGAGTCATTACCTGTGATGACCTCCGTGAGGTCCATGTCATGGGCCTTCCGCAACAGGCGCACCAGAGCCGGTACCCCGTCGCAGTTCTTAATGGCAATCTTATTGTCTTGGTCCTTGCCAAAGGAGATGTTCTTGAGGGCTCCGCAGGCACCATAGTGCACCTCTTTCTTGGGGTGGTCTAGCAATCCCACCAGCACGGGAATGCCCTTCAGCTTGCGCACCTCCGTCTTCACCTTGTCGTTGCGGTAGCAGAGGTGCTGCAGGTAGGCGGCTGCGTTGGACTTGACGGCGTCCAGGCGGAAGCTCAGCATGGCGATCACCTCCGGCAGCTCGGGCTGGCGCCAGCCGCCCGGGGCCGCGCCGCCCTTCCG